GTGATTATATTCTAATGATTTATCCAGTTGAGGAAAGTGTAAAATCTGCTTCTTCTGATTTATACCTAATCTGTGCCATAAATTTGACCCTTAAGGTCATCTATTTACTATTGATTTTAATTTCATTATCATTTACACTTTTACAGCAATATCCTACACTCTGTACCCGGATCTGTAGCACATATATAGACTTTTAAAAGGACATTGTCTTCTCTCGTTCAAACAATAAAATTAAGAATTTTGAAGAAAACTACTTGCCTTAATATTCAAAGGTTTGTTTGCTAATAAAATAAAGTTGTAGTAAAATACAATGATACTGTTACAAAGATGGCACATTGTCACTTTTCCGATGATGATTTCATTCAAATTATATGATACACAAGATGTAGTAGGATTTGGTCATATTATTCATGACACGTGACATCAGTTTATGTATACTATAGGGTCTATATAATTTCACTTATTGACTATTTGTGAAACATACTTGGATTGTTCTGTCGATTGCTGTCAGTTGTTTGTTTGTTTTGTTTTTCTATACTTGTGAATTCCCCTGCCTGATTTTTATACAACGAATTAATGGTTGGGTAGGTTATTATTATCATTTACATACATTAACAATCATAATTCTACCTCTACAGCAATATGATCGTTGTGCCTGGGACGACTTCATTTGTAATGATGGTACATGTATATATGGTTCCTGGGAGTGTGATGGAATGAATGACTGCAATGGAGGTGAAGATGAAGAATATTGTCCCCCATATTCATATTCATACTCTTATTCCTACTGTGCCTCGGATGACTTCATTTGTAATGATGGTACATGTATATATGGTTCCTGGGAGTGTGATGGAATCGTTGACTGCAATGAAGGTGAAGATGAAGAATATTGTCCCCCATATTCATATTCATACTCTATTCCTACTGTGCCTCGGATGACTTAATTTGTATGATGGTACATGTATAAATGGTTCCTGGGAGTGTGATGGAATGAATGACTGCAATGGAGGTGAAGATGAAGAATATTGTCCCCCATATTCATATTCTTACTCGTATTCCTACTGTGCCTCGGATGACTTCATTTGTGATGATGGTACATGTATAAATGGTTCCTGGGAGTGTGATGGAATCGTTGACTGCAATGAAGGTGAAGATGAAACACATGGTTATCTGTAATCATACTCTCTATCATAAACAACTCGCATTACTAGTGATTGATCATTTTGGTTTTCGGATTAAATTATGGGATGTTAAGCAATAATCCTTGTGTCTATGGCCATTCTTGTTGTTTCTTTTAAAAATCTATAACTTTAATTGTAATCATTGTTTACAACCGAATTTGGGGGACTCGTCTTTATATATGTGTCATCTGTGTATTTGTGGTCTCGCTCTTGAAAAGTAGGGAAACGATACATGGTTGCATTGCAGGCAATAAATAAAAATAAACACAGTAAATATTTGTTTATTTAAATTGGCACACATATTTTGTGTTTGATTACAAGACCTTGCTACATTTTGAGGTCAGAGGACAATGTCACAGTGTTAAAATGCGCCGTCGCACTATGACATCATGCAAAAGTGTGATAACAATCATCGCTCGCTGATTAACACGGGCTTGCAATAACATTGTTCATGGGTTGTTTTATTAAAAGACACATACATGCATATTTAATAACAGAGCAGCTAACAACGCCATTATTTTATCTTCAAATGTGAATAACAAATTCTTGCCAAACACGTGTTTCATATGTTACACACAGCACCTGCTAGATCAAAGGTCATGTTCACAGTATGTGTTTATGAATGCTCAGTATCGAGCTACTAAGACGTTATAGCTAAGAACTTCAAACTTGACACGCATGTTCCATGTGTAACCCAAATGACATGGCAATGTTTATAGACGAAAGGTCACATATCTCCAAAAAAAGATCGACAGTTCCTTCAAAACGCGGCACACGTGTTCATTTTGTGATCCTTACATCTTGAAGTCAAGGTAATAGACTAAGTATATATGTGTATAAGGCCTGGACTGCGGTTCTGATTGATGGTCGGAAATGTATCATAGGTTGGCATCTCTTTCGAGTTGTGAGTGCTATCTATTTCTAACGATAATTGGAACAGTATCTACTATATGTTACTAACGCTGTCAACTCATTACATTACATCGGTAATGTAATATATTAAGCAATGATGTGTACTGTATTGGAAATTCAAATTGTCATAAACCGCCAATCGAAGCGGACGTACGATATTATATAGGAATCATAATCAGGGAGAAATTCACGCTGCACTCAAGGAACGCCTGCATTAATTAAACTTCCCAAAACTGGAAACTGCCTTGTATAAAAGAGCACACGTGTGAGATCTTTATAACACACACTCGGTCAAGCAAGTTATGAACCATGTCTACCTGACTTTAGATAACACTGTATTTACATGTTGTTCGTAATGTCCGAGATTTGACGCGTTTCCAGCTGATACCTTGTAAAGCACCACGATACTAAACATTTAATAATTTGGGAATATGATTGACAAGTTAATTTCGATTAAATGTTTCCCGTACACCGTGGTTCCTAAAAAATAATCTGGTCAAGAAAAATGTATGGTATAATAACTACTGGCGAATTATATAAATTGTTCATGAAACCTTTCCAGTTGCATCATTGGACTCCGATTGTTGGCGGTTCTACTTTGGTGAGGGGAATCTCCGCCGAAACCATACATGCACCACCGTCATACTTGGAATCTTCAATCATTATTATAATATTAGCAGCGAGTTCCGTTGTCCTGGAAACAAATAAATTTAATATGAAAAAATACCTATCCACAATTTCACACTAAGCGTGAATCCAACAACGCCGTGTTTGGTAGTTGTATACATTTCGTGCATCAGTAATACGTGTACATTTCATTGTGTTAAATGACCATATTTGTAATATTCAAAACTCACGTCATCTTTGTCACATTTGCAAGCAATGGACGCAACAGATGTCCGTAACGAGTTGTCTTGTCCACGTCCTGGTTTTCAGTTATCGATGTTTTCACTGCACCGGGACATATCGCAGACACGCGTATTGCGTTCTCTACTACCATGGGTTCACTCTAAAATAAGGTGTGAGACCTCTATATAAAATTATCATATATTACTCATAGCAATCTTTGAAAATATATATCAGTAATTATGGATATTATTCGCGCCCTCTTTCGGTGAACTATCAAGGGGAAATTCTTCGTCTGGGTTTCTTCCACACGTGTCGGGGTGGAATATCGTCTGGTCTCTATATCTCGTCTGCTTGAGGTACCGGACCGGGAAAGTCACGTAAACCTTACAGTCAAATAGACGCACACAATGAAATACGGTTCAATAGCTAGTCATTAGCCACATCGAGAACGCCTCAAGGCGAACTGCCTCGTCGGAGCCTCTCTGCCCAGCACTCCAAGAATCTCTCGTCTCCTGGAGACTCTCCCTCTCTCTGTGATCAAGGACTTAGTCTGTTTATTACGTATCAAAAACTTAACCAATTACAAAGCAGTTAAAAGACTCTAAGGCGTGGCCTTCACACATACAGCCAATCACACTAAGTACTGGACACGTCATATCTTTTGATTAATCGTTCACTATATTACTAACTGCAAATACCAACTGTCAGAAATAGCGGTCCGGATAGCGACGGTTATATCGTAATTAGTTCCAAATCACTGAGTCAAGTTCCGTCCAGGACCTCGCATGAGCCTAAATGATGACAGATATAACACAGCCATTCACTAGTAATCAGCTAAATAAGTCGGACAACAGATACGCAAAAACTAATTCATGACAGAACTATTACTGTGACGTAAATGAATAGAACTTCTGGTACTCTCCTGTTGTTCAACATGCTGTATTCACAATATTCTCCACATTCGAGATGATTAACGACTACACCTCCACAATGTTCTTGTGAACGTCATATGACGTCACAGTGACGATTCGTCGCTTGAGGGAGCCACTCACTAATAATGGGCATTCTGTATCGTACCTGGGCGGAGTGTAATTATATTATTGAGTCACGCAGGGACTTATGACTGAGTAGTTGCCTTATATCTCACCTAATAATATTATTGTCACGATAGTTTCAACATACGAATCGGTTAATACATAACCAAACCAATTTTCTTACATTATTTGAAATTAACTTTGAGAAGACGGCGCCACCCGTGCAGTGTTATACAGTGTGAATAAACAGGTGACTACTTACAGCCACACTTCGTGTGAATCCTACAACGCCGTGTTTGGTAGCTGTATAAATTGGAAGTAACGGGAATGGCATGATACCTGAAAATATAGAGACTGCATTTCTATCTACGACATTGTATATTACGTAGATACGTTGTTTAGAATGCCATTACTATTATAGATATGCCAAGAGAGAGTCACGTGGCTTGGTAGGTCCGTATTTACACCTGTCATCATTAAACCCTATATTTAACGCCTCTAATTTATTGTTTGGTCAAATTGTTGATGAACGATTACTTTCTCTTTACAGTTGTTATTTAAATATTAATAATTAGTAAATTACATGACGAGCATCCTCAATATTTTTAATCCCCAAAGATTTATTTTGTAACCTTTTCAGTTGCTTTTCGTCGTGATTATATTAATTCTAAATGCCAGTATTTCCAAAGTTCGTGTTCGGTGGAATGGTCTTGACCGTGTGACAGTATGGCTGCCTTTAGTTCGACTCAGATGATCGAGTTGCAGTAATTTCTATGCACTGTTGTATATACTGGCTGTAATGGTTACACAAAAAAAGTATTTTACATCAAAACAATGGTATGACCGATTAATATGTCTGTTTTTACATTTTGTACTAACCAAGTCCAGATGCAGTGTTGATAACCACGCCTCCATTTCCCCCATTCTTTGTCCCCATGTGTTCTACAGCGAGATATGTACCTCTGATCACTGCAGTCTGAAATACATCAAAAACCGTGAACGTAAAGTCATGGCAAACATGTGGTAAAAGGCACATGGTTAGTCATCTGATTTTTGGAGAGAGTCCTCAGTAGCCACTTGAAAACTGAACTCAAATAGATCGACGCTGAGAA